GCTACTAAAAAGGATTATTTTCCTTTATCATTCACAGATAGTATATTGGATGCTGTCACTGGACATGAATGTTATCCATTTCTTGATGGATTCTTTGGTTAAAATCAAGTTAAGGTTGCAAAAGAAGACTAGTTAAAAACTACTTTTACTACGGATTAGGAGACCTTTGCCTATAAGGTTATGCTGTTTGGGCTTTGTAATGTACTAGCCTCGAGAAATAGACAAAAATATTATATATTGGTAGCAACGGATTACATAACAAAATAGGCTGAAGCCGTAGCTACGAAAACCATACAGTAGTAAATTTTTTGTATGAAAATATTATTATTCCGTTTCGTTGACAACGAGAATTTGTTAGTGATCGAGGAACTCATTTTATAAATAGTACAATCAAAGCACTTATGGCTAAATACAAAATAAAACATCGTAAGATTATACCGTATCATCCTAGAGCCAATGGACAAACAAAAAAGACTAATAAAATTTTATATAAAATCTTAACAAAAATAGTTTCAAGAGTGGAAACAGATTGGGACACTAAATTGTTCGCAGCTTTATAGGCATACCGTATTGCATATAAAGTTACTACCAATGCTATCCCTTTTCAATTGGTTTATGGCCAAGAAGCAATACTACCTATTAAATTGGAAGTCCAAAGTTTACGAATTGCTATAGATACTAGATTGGGAGATCAGGATTCATTACGGCACTGTTTAGAAGAATTGGAAAAATTAGATGAAACTAAAGCCAATGCATTAATGATAATGGAAACTACCTAAAAAAAAAAGAAGACTTATTATGATAGTAAGCTTAGACCAAAGGCTTTTATGCCAAATGATTTGGTACTTCTTTATGATAGTAAATTTAAAAATTTTCTAGGAAAATTTCAAGTTCAATGACATAGGCCATATCGAGTTATTGATGGATTTCCAAATGGTTCAGTACAATTGGAAGTTTTTATGGATACTAAATTTATGACATGGATCAATGGCAATCAGCTTAAACTTTACTATACATAAACTCGGGACGGGTTTTTTGTTACAAAAGGGGGAGTCAATTCAATTGATTCGACCATAGTAAGAAGTAGGAGGGGAGCTCTTGACAAGCATCGTGTTTTCTTTTGTGGTTAACGAGAAGATGGCAAACATGGTGTCTGAGAAAGTAAGGTTGGAGATTGATTGGAAGGAATGGCAAGAACGACTGCAGGTAGAGGTTGCGTTGTCGGGGTAGAGGGAGTTTGCCTCAAAAAAACGTTGGGCTTCTGGCTATCACTAATTATTCAATCAAGCTTGAAAATAAGAGAAGCCCTAAGTTTATATATAATTTTTCTCTTTTTGAGTAATTACACCAAATACACAATCCTCAAGTAACCCACAACTTCCAAAATATGATAAAATCTTCTAAATCCTTATTTATTCTTATGTGGAGATTTTCCCGAATTTCAACACCTCATATCTCTTAATCCGACCGTCCAAAAATACTCTAATTTTACATGAGGTACTGATGTATTCTTATTAACTTTTACAAAAAATTTCAACTGCAAATTCATTGCAGATCTTGAGATATCTTGAAATTCCTAACAGCCGCTTCAAACCCTTGTCTTTTTACATCTGCGTGCAATTTTCTTCATATCTCACAAAATATAAGCTCAAATGCCACGAAATTTATATGTATAGCTTTTTAACACAAAATTTTACATTCTCCAAAAAGTTTGAGCCAAAAATTTGTTCGAAAACTCAAGTTATGGCTTCAACCATTACTACAAACAAACCCGCTTACTTACTGCTTTTGATTTGGAAGTGTCGCCTTCAACTCCTTACAACTCCTTCATATGAACTCCAAAAGCAATAATTCTTTCATTAAAGATGTAGGCCTTGAAATCGCCGTTCCAGTTGCACCTTTCGATCTTCAAAAGCTGCTGTAAAACTCCTCATACTCTCAAAAGAGTAACAGTATGTCTTAAATAAACACCTTAACTTCAAACGGTTATAACTTTTTCACCTTAATTCCAAATCCTCTAATTTTTGTACACAAATTGTTCTCCAAATTATAAACTTTACAACCTTAACTTCTAATTTCCAAATTCTTCCTTTAAAGTCGCCAAAACCCTTCTTAAGGTCGCGGGCAGCCTTCTCAAAGTCCATTGGGCATGGTATTCGACCAATAGGGATGAAGTTCCCCATTCCTTGCCTTCATCCGACCATGCCTTGCTTTCATCCCTCCCAATTAGCTTCCTACTAGTTTAGATTTTCATCCTTAGGTTTCCACCTTTTTCCAAGGTTTCATACTAAACATTTAGGTCATATATATATATATATATATATATATATATTAATGTCAAAATCAAAAGAAATAAAGAAACAAAATAAAGTTTTTTATACCAACTCCTTTTAATTTAATCTACTAGCCACTCTAACATACATCTAGATTTATCAACATATAATATGTTTTAGCTAATTTTTACATACTGTAAGCATTTACAGTATGACAACGTTGTTGCAGACTAAACTAGCTGGATTATCGAAGGAGGCTAATAATTTAGTGCAGACCAATATGCCAGTTTTAGCGACAACACCTTTGGAGATACCTTTGAAATCGACAGAAGAATGGCAGAAGATGTTGGAGGAGCGTGACAACCAAATTGCCCGACATGAGTCTCAGGTACATGAATTGGGTTTGTTGAATGAAGATCTGACGATGTGTTTGGATGGACAACCCTCGAACACTGAGGTAGATGACGAAGATGTAAAGAGGAGACGGTCATCAATTCAAAGGGTGGTAAGCCAACGCCATTGATTGAAGAAGCCAATGCTGCTATGTCTTTATAAACTGAGGCTAAATAATGTTTGTGAGGATGCTGCACAGATACGTGTAGGGCTATCTAGAATAGGTAAATAAACTTTGTGGTAACTTACTGGTTGGTTATTGATAACCTTAAGAATTAGACTGATGGTTAGGCAGTTTAGTTAGTAACAATAGGTTGTTAGTTGAATAAATGGTTAAGAATTCAAAGGGTCATAACCTTTGGAATCCGGTGGCTGACGGATCATCTTTTTGGTAGGATAAAAAGGTTAAGGAAAGAGAGAACGGGGCCAGACTATGAGAGTTGTAAGCTGAGAGCCAGACTGTGAGAGTCGTAAGCCGGGGCAAGCTTGGTGCTACCTCTTTTTGTTTCTTTGTTGTTGACGAGTAATGGATACTTTCTGAATACTGAGAAGTTATTTTGAAGTGCCAGACTGTGAAAGTCATAATTTCGTCTAATGAATTGAGAAACTGAATACAATAGGTAAGCTGGAGATCAGTAATTGAATATATCTAAACCACAAAGAGAGTAAATGGGAGATGAACGGATAAGAATATGGAAGTATTATTGAATTGATAGTCGTAGAATGGATTATGGATTGAATTAAGATGGAAGTAATAAGCCTTGGTGTTTTGTAGTTTGATAATTGATTTCAGATTGCTAGAGTACAATCAATTGTGACACTAACAGACCCAATTCATATAACCAGTCTTTCCCCGTGTTTGAACCCACCTCTATTAGTTCAATTGCTTTGGTATATTGAAGCTTGAACACATCGAGAACAACATTTTGGCATCGCAAAAAAAAGCTTAACTTCTTGTAGAAATCTTTAAAATTTTGATCTTATTCCATCAAACTTCTTAAGCATTTTAATCTTTATTTTATTTATAATTGTAATATTAAGGCATTTTAGATTTACTTGTAAGATTAATCTCATTACTTCTTTTAATTGCACAAATACTTGGCATAGACATTGGACCTCATTGTTGACTTCTTTCATATAAGTATGAATAATACTTTTATGGTTGACATTTATAATACATGATTTTTTGCCCTAAGCACATTCATCAACTTGTAAAAGTTTCCAATCTATTCTCACTTCTATTAAGTGTAGCATCTGTAATTTATTTTTATTTATTTTTATTTTACTTTTTCATCTCTATAATAAAAAGCTTTAACAAATCTATAAGTTAAATTAGGAGAAGGTAATTTCTATTCTTTAATATTATATAAAAAAATTTACAAAGAAAAATAGTCAAATTTACAAGACATGGGCCTAATTTGAAAGGCAAATTTCAACATGTATGCCACATGGCCAACAAAAACATGTGGCTAATTTGTAAAGCAAATGTTCAAAATGTGCCAAATATGATCGATTTATTGGCCAAGTTTTCAACCTATCAATCACCTTCAAACACTCAAGAAGACAAATCCATACTTATAAAGCTTCTAAGAAGCCTCTCTTCAAGGTATTATTAAATTTACTTACTTCTACTTACTTCAATATAACTCTTCTTATCTTCAATAAAATTATTATGTCTGTAACATTATTATTATTTTCCAACATATACTAATGTTGCATTAAAACATATATTTAGAAATTTTATTTGTACATGCTATAGCTTACATTTTGTATTTCTAAAAAGAATTCTTGTAACCATTTTCAATTTATTCTTTCAATTTTTTTTTTATTGCTCTTAGATTGTCTTATAGTCAAAATGTGCAATAAAAAATAAAAATTCTATGTTATTGATATTATTATAAAATTTCTTAGATGCATTATGAATAACATTTTTTTAATACAAATAGATTCTAAATTATGTTGATTAGATTTTAATAAATATGAAATATAAAAAATAATATATATATATATATATATATATATCTACAATTTAATTGGTTATGAAAAGACATTTATATCCATGTGTTCTAAAAAGTGTCTTAAGAATAGATATCCTATGGAGATTATTAATCTACTTGATAGATTTAAGTAGAAGCTAAACTCTTTTGCATTATTTGGCTATTCATCAATCCCATCTACCATCCAAGCTCATTTGGAACAAGCTTAGAGACTAAACCACATATATTCTATTCTTATGTACTTAAATAGATACTAGAAAAAGAATTCTACAAACACAAGTAACTATTATTTAGATTTTAATATACACATTTTAATATCAACTCTTAAGATAAAAATAACAATATTATAATATCTTTAGATTTAAATGATAAATATATACATGTAAATTCGTTTCTGCCTCTGTTGTTATGAAATCAAAATTCATAACATAAATGGAACTAATTCTTTTAGCTCTAAAACAGAAACCTAAATCCTAAAATAGTACACCCTTGAATTTTAGCCCTAATTTCCAAAAACTACAAAGAAATCACCTTTATGAACAATATTATTAATCATGCTTCCATTCAACCAGTGACGAAAGGATCTAACCTCAAACCCATTGACTGAGCACTAATACCACATCCATCTAAATCCTGGTTCAGAGGTGATGGCAGAGATCCAATTGCTTGATATAAATAGGACTGCAGGCCCCTGGAGCACAAACCCATGCATTGGATCCATCCACGCGGGACATGCACCGACAGTCATTTACAGCCCATTTACACAATCAAGCTGGTGGAAGTTCATCCCCCAACTCAATCTTGCTGTGACTGAAATTCCCCAGCTCACTCTCATTTCTACCTACACTTAATGCATGAGTCCTCATTCTTGTCCTGGTCCACAATCCTGCATTGAAGGTCCCTGAGGAAGTGCTCTGCTACGCCGCTGAGAATGTTGTGCTGTGGGGATGGATGGTCTACTACGGGACTCGTTTGTACATGGAATACACACACTCCTCACTATTCGAAAGCAGTTGGAGGCCTTGCAAGAGAGAGATATGCCTTCTCCCACTTGAGGGTATATCCTTGAGGAATGCTTTTAAGGGGGTGATGACTCTGCCCTCTTCGCAATCATGTGCTCCCCAGGGTACGTTGTGTTTTTGAAGCCTCCTTCACTTGCGTCTGCTCTCAAATTCTTCTGATTTTCTTCTACTCCATGTTTTGGATCAGCTCACACAGAACTACTCTTCGCACCATCATCTTTACGGATAATGTGCACTCCGTAAGCGGTAAGCTTAAATTTTGGAGCGGTATTACAGCCGTGCAGTGGCGCTGCTTCTCCCTCCGCACCTGTCATCAGAAATTAAGCGTTGCGAACAAATTACTTCCAACGTAAACCCCAGCGTAATAAATTTAAGGTTAGTCGCCAAAAGACATGCCCCTCGAAAAGACAGCTGACTTCATGTTTCTGCATCTTAACGAGGAAAATTTCAAATCGCTATGTCAGGGATCTAAACAAAAATTTGGCGGTACAGAAATACTGTGCAGCAGCTGAGGTTTGTCAAAACACAGATGCTCCACGATTCAGACCTCGCTGCTCGTGCACTCCCTCTAGAAAGGCTACCGAAGGAAACCTCAGCTGCAGTTGCTTGGTTCCTACTTCACTTGAATTTCTATGCAATGTCGAAACCCTACCAGAAGCATTCGAGTGCCCGCAAAATTGAATTTTGTATGTAACCTATATTAGCGTGATTCACAAGATACTGTAATTCAAAATGTAATTGTTCCAAGTAAGAAGTACGAACCTAAGGAGGAATCTGGTGCGAACAAAGATTTCAAGCACTTGGGATGGATGTTGAAGTTGCACTTGTCGCATCGGAAGCCTAGCCCCCCCCCGAACTCGAGACACATATCGCAAACGTAGCTCTTGCCGTGGTAAGTGCGGTACCCACAGCTAGAGAGGCGGTGCGGATGTACCGGGCAAAGCGGGTCAGGGGGAAGCATTGCACATGATGGGTGCAGATCAAACTTGCAGTTGGTGCAGTGGTAGACCCACCCCTGCGTAGGCATGCGCTCGCCGCAAAGGTCGCACTGGAGGCGCCCAGGTGGATATGGCGACTTGATGAGCAACTTCAGCGGGATCGGGTGGAGATAAGTGAAGATCTTCGCCCGTAACTTGGCACATCGAGCATGCACGTCGAAGTCGCAAGCCTCGCACCGGTAGCTCCACTCGCAGTCCGCCAGGGAATTCCTGCACCCGTCACACTTCTTTTTGGAGCTTGCGTGGTAGTTCGCGGGCATCAACGTAAGCGGGTGCGGGTGAGTGCAGCTCCGCAGCGTTGGCTGCAAGGTGCAGCACGCTGGGTGCAGATCATATTTGCATGCCTTGCAATGGTAAGTCGGCCCTTCTCCGAATTTGAAACACAGATCGCACACGAAGTCGCGGGATGCGTAAGGCGGCGAGCTGTGGAGCACGAGAGGAGTCTTCGGATGCAAAGTGCACGTCAGCTTGGCATCCATCGCCATCAAGTGCACATGTCTCCCTTGAACCTTACCACTCGTAAGTATACCTCACCCAGAACCGGGACTATTGGATCCACTTCCTGGTCGAAGCAACAGCACCAAACACCAGCGCCACTTGGCGATCCTCACTGACACTTGCAACTCATTCCCAATTTCAATCAGTCGCTGCACCTGATCGATCCTCGGTGCAACAACACTCCTCCAGTTCCAGGCGTGGCTTCTGATGGGCCGACGACCGCGAAATCGCTGTACGCGAAATCCAATCCCTGCAAACACCTATGGCACCCGGGGATTCTACAGACTAACGATTACCAGCGAAAACCAAAACCTTGTTTTCGACGAGCGACGCGGCGGATGCCGAGCCTTGCGACGAGGCGCCGCAGCGAGGAATCAGGCGGAAAACCACGAAGAGGTGTGATCGACAACCACGTCAAACCGAAATGGTGCAGAATTTGGAAAGCCCTTGGACAGGAGACAGGTTGGTGATTGGTACAACAACCGGGAGAAGATGATATGCCGCGGGGAGGAGGGGGGAGGTCCAGGAAATTGGGCTCCCAGCACCAGCACCAGCAGCAACAGTAGCAGTGTTTGCGGTAGCGTGTGTGTGGGATGGGGGGAAGTGGTGCCAGGTTCCCCCCTTAGTCGGCGGGATAGTTCCTTTCCTGCATCGCCACTTCCACGTCATCCCTGCCACGCTGGCATCGCCGGTTCTTGGGTGTCCCCACCTAGTCCAACGTGGCCACCCCATCAAACTGCCCCACATGTGTTTCCCTTTTCTAACATTAATTTATATTTTTACTCTAGACACATGTATTCTCATACTCCTTCAAAAGATTCATCCATCCATCAAAGATTCTTGTAGAGTGTGATGGAAGACTCTATGGGAGTGTGATAAAATGTTACATTCTTATCCACTCACTCTCAATAAATGAGTTTCCCTATTGTTATTATTGGGCACTAGTGGAGGGCAGATTTACCCAACTAGGGTTTGATTTTGACCAGTCAACAGAGACCTAATATGAGCCACATCTGTAAAATACAGTGCACAATTCCCTTGCTTTGCAATGCATGATGAGTATCATATCCCAATTTGCAAACACATGGCCACAAATCAACATTGTACAACAATTGCTGGGGACTGTGAATTTTGTTGGTGCAAAGTCAAATGCAACATGATGATGATGACACATGGAGAAAAAGCATGTTAAATGTAGCAATGTTTTGTTCTTCATTGTTTGAGTGTTTGTTGAATTGAATAACAATGCCAACCCTTTTATGTTGGGTGTTGTTAATGCCACCACAGTTTTTGTTATTCTCACTGCACCCACACTCAATATTATTACTATTAGTATTATTTAATTCTAATCCAATTTTTGTTAGTATTTCTAATATTATATCTATGTGTATATATATATATATATATATATATATATACATTCAAATTAATATTGACTTTTTTTTTCTTCCTCTTGGTAATATTTTTGGCATATTGATACCTTAAATTCATTAATGTCTTCATTTCAAACTTTTATTCTTTGACTTAGATTTTAAATATGATTTTTGTCTCAATAGTATAACTATTTATTTACGCATTATGTATAGTTGGTGTTTGTATTATATATTAATTTTTTATTCATTGAGACAATACAAATAGTGAATTGCTAATGTCATATCTCCAATTGATATTGCTATATCCACATGATCTCTACGTGACTTAAATTGACTAAAAAGCACACCTCTACAATTAGGACGCATTTGAGAGTCCATTATTTAATTTCAATATTGACTCAAAAATAGAATTTTAAAAAATAGAAATCAAATTAAAAAAATCAGATTAAAAAAATTATAAGGAAAATATTATGTTTTTACAGAAATTACTTGCAATTTTTTATTTTTATAATTATTTTTTTGTTGTAAAATATTCACTGTTTCCATCTACAATTTTAAATTTTAACCAAATAAAACTACTTAATTCAGTTTGTACAAATAACTATATCACTTATAACTAAAAACATTTGTTGATATAATAAAATACTTAATTTTTTGTAATCTATGTATTAAGAAGCAACTATTGCTTGATGAATTTTTATAAATTTATAGCGTAGTATTTTGATTTTTTTCTGATATTCTTTGATAATATGCAATTAATACATCTAACATCAATTATTCTAATACTAATGCTTTTCGCATTTTTTTTTTTTTTTTTTTTTTTTTCCACAAATTCTTCTATAATAAGACTTTGAAGTTACAATTAAAAAAATTCTCTTCTGAGATTAGTTCTTAACTTATTCAAAAATCAATTAAAATTGTTATTTTTCTGTTTTCGTTTTGACTGTAAAAATTAATTACATAATCTATAATTATTAAAAGTAGAACAAGAAAGAAAAAGAAAAATTCAAATTTAACAAACTTTCTACTGATTTTTACAATTAAATTTAATTTTTGTGTATTTTTTACCCAATATTAATTTATTAATAAATTTTAAATTATGGTGTTTGGATTTGGAAGCCAACTAATTTTTGTCACCTCTAATGTATATATTTTTTTAACTATCAAGAATTTTATGAGATGAAAATAGTTTGTATAACATTTTAAAATTCAAGATAGAAAATCCTTCCTTATCTAAAATATCATTCATGTATTAAACTTTACAAAGAATATGTTGTTTATTATCCAAATTACACATGTTGATAATATTATTTTTCTCTTTATCATAGATGTTTTATTATTTCAATAATTTTTCATAATTATTGATATAAAATAAGATATTTTGGATTCTAAAAATTAGTAAACTATTCTCTTTAGAGATTGGTATTGATTCAACCTTCCAAAATAACATTGTTACAAAATTAACCAAATCTTTAAATTTACCTTCACATAGCACTACCACTTCAATCAGTTCAAATTTTTTTCTTTGATTTACAAGGAAAATTGTAAGATGGTTATCAGACTACCTCCTTTTAAATTTTAAAGTTTGTTATGTATTGGAATTTTTTAAAAAATATCATTTAAAAACCTTTACTGAAAACATTATTAAAGAACCATAAAACTCACTTCTTTATGTACACATACATTTACACAATCCTATGCAAATTTCTTTTTGTATTAGGAGATTTTTCTATTATTTTTTATTCAAAATAAGTATTCTTAATAAAATTATATCTATTTTTTTTTTTAAAGAGAAATCAACTCTTCATTAAACTATTATGACATACACAATATTTGTAGGATCAAATTGGTTTAAACAATTCAAATATCATGCATTGATTGCAAAAGTCTTTATATAAATGTAAACAAACACCAATATTTACTTCAAGCAAACACATTTGATTTATATAATTCTTTGTATTTATACTGATTTTATTCTTTTTACTTATAATTTCTAGTACTTCTCACATGACAAGGCTTTTTTATTTAATAAATTTCTATAATTAAATAAAAACGATATTCAATATTTTTTGGATATTTAAGTTTATTGAGATCAAAAAGTTATGATCTTTATTTTGTGTTAAAACAAACCTGTTTATACTATTGTTAATTAATTACAATTATTTGGCATAATGTGTGGCCAATTTAAAACCTGGCCACTAGATTACATTTTATAATTTCACTTGTTTGAATTTTAAAAAATAGAATAGAATAGAATAAAATAAAATACAATGACCCAATTTGTTATTTTTTTTTATTTAGATCTTATTATATATTTTTATATATGATAACATAAAATTTATTTATGAATAACTTTTTTATTTTATAAGAAGATAAAATTGTATATTTGAAACTCTTTCATATACTTGGATTAGATTAAAAATTTAAATCAAAATTTTTTAAAATAATTTTTTAAATCAAAAAAACTACAAACTTAGTCCACATCTAATACATACAGCCTAAAATTTAGTCCACATTATTAAAAATAAATAAAATAAATAATACAATATAATGTATTCAAATTCCATTGCTTCATTTGGTATTACACAATTTTAGAACTTAATAATATTTTCTAATCAATTGGTATTGAGATATAACATCTATAAAAGAATAGTGAATAAGTAATTTGTTTTTAGTGTTGTTGTATAAAAAAGAAAAAGAAATATATGGTAATAATTTGAGTCAATACAATAAATGCAGACAAAAGATACAATAAAAAACATATATTTTGTTATTTGTCTAAATTTATCTAAATACAATACAATAAGAAATAAATGTATAGTAATGATTTGAGTCAATTTTGCAACATAGATATTTATATTAAAGAACAAGTTCTTGTCTTTGTGGTGAATTGGACCAAGTGGTTTATGTCCATAATTGTGGTGAATTTATAAAATTTGTACAGTTGTGTTGTAAAAAAAAAAACTAAGGATATTGAAAAGTGTGAATCTAATGGCAAACCATTTGATTTTATATGATAAAGGAGTGGTTTTTACTTTGGCTCTTTGTCTCTACATCCTTTATATTAGTCTTTATTGGACAAACAATAGAAATTATTTTATTGATTAAAAATGAACCAATTTTTTTTTTTAAAAAAAAAAAAAATTAGTAAAGAGTTGCATGGAGATAATAATACTATTGTGATAGTAGATGGGAGTTCATTAAATTTGGAAAATTATTATCTTTCATCAAGGGAGAAGGAAAAAAACAAAACAAAACAAAACAACAAAACAACAAAACAAAAAGTTCAAATAAAATACATTAAGTGTTCATAACTTTGAAACACTGCAATAATATAAATGGAAACTGAGATGTAATTTATATATATAATTGAAAGGTATATTATAAATTGTTGAAGCATAATTATGCTTTTATAATTGAAGCATACTTTGAAAACTTTTAAGTAATGTGTAATATGAATAGAAAGCAATGATGTGCTCAATTACTAAGTTTTTCTTTATAAAAAGAGTCGATATGGTATATAGTATGATATAAGGACCGCATCTAATGTATGTAATATTACAAAAAGTCATATACAATAGGTAAATATAGTATAAATGCACAATGAGCCACATTGATGTATAGTTTGTACCATAAAATAGTACTAATTGCATATAAATGTGAAAACACCACTATTTCAACTTTCTTTTAGAATGTGTCAATAGTGTACATTACTTTACATTCATTGTCTTGGAAATCATTATTTTTTGCATCAAATAATGCATTGACCTTATACAGCAACCCAATGTGGTGAATAGTAAAGTTACTGAAAGTGAGCATTTGTGAGATGGGTACCACACTGCCCGGTATAGACAAGATTGAAATGAAAGAAGCGGCTCCTCTGTAAGTTGGGTTGACATGTTTGTTTTGAAAGAGAGAGAGCGTAAGCAAGCAAGGAAAACAAGTTCTAAAGGAGGATTTCACCAGCCGGACTTTTCTACGCCATGCTCCTCCAGCAAGCACAAACACTTAGGTGGGATCACTGCCGAACAAATTCCCAAGGAAGCGAGGAAATCTATAACGGAGGTTGAGGAGCGGCCATGGTGCCGCAGTGGTCCTCAACATGGAGCTCATTTCGGAAGCACTGCCACTTGAGTCGACAGTAACAGTAACCACCAGATTCCCCTAAGACAACCCCCTTATGGATCAGCCGAGCAACACGCAAGCTGGAATAGAAACCCACCCACCCACAGAACCTACACCCACTTGGACATGGGCAACAAAGAAGAGTCCGAGGTGCCGTTTCTAGCTACTCTTGCTCCCACTGGAATGCCAGTGGATGCTCCACGATCGCATCGCAAGGCTCAGTATTTTGTGGCACCGCCATCTCGGGATCTGAGTTGCTCTTTTAGGAATGACTACTGGAGACTCGTCAGGCTGCGTCTACAGTAGCGATGAGTAGTTCGACAAGTTGACGAGCACTTGTTCAACGGTATCCTCGTGTCTGAGGAATCCATATGCTTGCTACTACTTTCAGACCACTAGAGATGCATTGCATTCTGGGCCTCTTCATGTGGACAGTGGAGCACATGGAGAATCTTTGATCATTACCCCATAGAGAGAACCATATTGAGAAGTCCTTGAAATGCTCCACTGCGGAGGCTGAATGAAGGCTTCAGTGCCTTGACATAGGTCTATGACCTAGAGTCAATAAATCCATTTTTCAGTGGCGGGCCGCTCCCAAGCAAAGCTATTAGCGAAGCTTTCTATTTGCTCCATAAGTTGCAAGAGTTACTAGAAAACTTGACAGAAAACGTAGTTTAGGGTCGGGGATTACGCAGTCCGCGTTTTCTATGTAGTCGGAAGCTCTAAGAATTTCAAAATCCGACAATGGATCATGTGACATGTTAGAAGTCAAAGATCCTTGGATGAGACAATCTAATCGCACGACCTAAACATATAACTTGCGGGCCTGAACCGAGTGAGTCGAGAGTACATCAAAGTCATAGTTCATCTTTTAAAATGAAAACATTTGAGATCCAACCGAAGCCATCCTACGAGAACTCCACAAGATCACAGGCACTGTACACCCCCCAGGCAATGCTTTCATTCTACTACACGTTATGCAAACCCTGTTGGAATAGCTTTTCCATTGGAAAGGCCTAGAGTCCATTGTTCGAGACAAAGGAGGGCATGAACAATACCGAACCTGAATCTGAAAGCTAACAACAACTACTGTTGCCTTGCCAAACCCGTCGTCAAATTGGCAACCAGGAGCTACTACCTGTGTCTGGGCTTGTTCACCGTTCCTCCGTTTTCAGCGCCAGGATTGCCCTTGCGCATCATGGCTACGAACTCGTCGTAGTCTATTCTTCCGTCGTTGTCTGTGTCCACCTCGCTGATGATCTCTTGGATGGTCTCAGGATCTCCCATTCCATTCTTCTCCATTGCTTCCTGAAGCTCGTCGATGGTGATATACCCGCTATTGTCCGTGTCGAAATGCATGAATGCTGCCCAAAGGTGATCCTCTTTCTCCGTCTTGTTCATGTGCATTGTTGCCGATATGAACTCGTTGAAGTCGATCTTGCCGTTTCCATCGACATCTGCAGCTTCCATTAGTTTCCTGATGTCCGATTCATTAAGTTTTGAGCCCTGCTTCAGCAACCCTTCCTTAAGCTCCTCGAACGTCACCGTGCCGCTGTTGTCTGTATCTATGGATTTGAACATCTCCCTCAACCCCACGATCTCTTCCTCCGACAGACTCTCTGCAATCACCTTCAGCGCCAGCTTTTTCATCTTGTTGGCGGCTGAGAAATTTTTCAGTCTGGTCAACACCGCATTGTCGAGTGGCACGTCTGGAGCATCACCATCTTCCTTCATCCATGGATGGTTCAACACCTGCTGTGCCGTCAGACGTATCTTCACGTTAGGGTTTAGCATTTTCCTCACCAAATCCTTAGCCCCGTTGGAGATTTTCGGCCATGGATCGTTCTCGAAGTCTATGTGCCCTTTGAGCACAGCGTCAAAGATACCCTGCTCAGTTTCAGCCCAGAAGGGGGGTACACCACACAGCAGAATGTACACAATCACGCCTGCACTCCAAACATCAGCTTCAGGACCATAACTTCTCTTCAAAACTTCAGGGGCCACGTAATACGCACTTCCAACAATATCCTGGAACACATCTCCTGGCTTAAAGAAAGTTGACAGACCGAAGTCTGTGGCCTTCAGAGGCGCATCCTCAGCCTTGCTGGCCAACAGAAAATTCTCTGGCTTGAGATCCCGATGGAAGACCCCTAATGAGTGGCATCTGTGCACCACATTGACGATGACTCTGCACATATCGGCAGCGGCGCGCTCACTGTAATGCCCCTTGGCAATGATGCGATCGAAGAGCTCGCCACCTGCACAGAGCTCCATCACAAGATGCACGGAATGCTTGTCCTCGAACACATCCTTTAACACCACGATATTGGGTGTCCCCGACAGGTGATGCATAATCTGAACCTCCCGCTTAACATCCTCGATATCCTCCTTACTGGTCAGTTTCCGTTTGGCGATGCTCTTGCACGCGTACGCCTCATTCGTCATCTTGTCAGTACACAAGTAAGTCACTCCGAACTGCCCTCGGCCAAGCTCCCGTCCCAGGATGTAAGATTGACGAATATCTGACAGCGGCTTACCCAAAACACCGGATACTGACCTCGATGCTGGCTTCGGCCTCGGCAGAGCAGCGGGCGCAGAGGTGGATCGTTCTCCGGCCTGAGCACCACTGCTTGGCTTTCCGCCATAGTTGTTTGCGCCAACGCTACCACCCTGTCTCGTCTTTGGATTGACGCTATCATTCTTCTCTCGGGTGTCTTGAGACCCGACTCCCTGATTCACCTGCCGAGTGGACTTCCTCGATCCCCTCGAACTAGTGTTCCCCATGTCGCTGATCCAAGTTAATCAACTCACAGAAATCTCCTCGGGGAGGATTATATCACTTGCAAAACCCTGTAGAGTATCAACGTTCAAGTCAATGAATGCTAAGATACATGAATGCAGTTCGAAAACCAAACATTATTCAACTTGCGGCGTTTATCTCTGTAACCACTCAGATGGTGAGCGAAATTAGAATACTATAAATGGTTGTTACCAGAAGGCACTGAACAAATGCTCAACATACAAGAACCTTGAGCCTAAGAATAGAGTTTACAAAGCAAGTAAGGGCAGGAAGGACTGAGATGGGCTACAATGATGGTTGAGGAGCAGAGCGCCTAATGTCTGTTGAATTCATTTCAAATCAAAACATATAGATGACTTCCTCAAATAAGATCGCAATACCAATTGTTCTAGCAGAAATGACCTTTGTGAGGGGCTTACTACCAAAAACAGTCGACCCAGAAGCTAGCAGCGACAGGTTTACATTATCTAGACATTTGTCCTTGGAAATAGATCAGAACTCGCTGGAAAATCGCACGGATGCGGAGCCTAGCGTCATAAGTGACCGTGGACAGTACTCAAAATCACAACCCAAGGATACCGACATTCGTCGTCAGCGAAGAAATGACCCCACATTTCAGAGAAGAACAAATCTTGCAAGACCATAACTCTAAGACATCCCTTTGAAAGCGGACCTCACGAGTTAGTGCTCAGGTGATCCAAAATTTCATCGCAAACTACACCTAGAAGGTACGGCACCTCAAATCCTCTCCTTCACGTCGTCATGACATAGGCCAGAGCAGAAGCGAGGAATGGGCAGGGACGAGCGCAACCCTTCAATGCTCCAACGTTGCTCCAAAACCAAGCTTGCAGCCCGTTCACATTTTCAGAGGCGGAATCGAATAAAACCAGAGGAAACAATGTACAAATATCGCGAGGCGCAAAAGCGTAAGAAACGAGATCCGGTCTTACGCGAGGCCCTTCCAAGTTGGAATCTCAGATCGCAGTTCGCTGGGCTCCAGAATGATGAGGAGGAGAAGGAGGGGGAGATGCAGGAGGAGGCGCAGCATCACGTAGCCAGTAGCAGCCAGCACCCGCAGCCAGCCAGCCAGGGCAGCGCAGCGAAGGGCAGGGCAGGCCTGGGGTGGGGTGGGCACGAGGCGGGCATGCGGTGTGGAGGAGGGCATGGACCGACGGAGACCTCTCCCCGCTGTGCGACATCCGTCCAGGATAAGGACGGAATTCGTCCACTTTCATCCGGAAATCCAACACTGAGAGCAGAGGGAAGAAAGAAGAGGGAGAGAGGGGGGGGGGGGGGGGTCGCCAACTCTGAGAAACGGCTGCCTGCGTGGGAATAGAAGTGGCAGGAGTTGGAGGAGGTTGGAGGAGGAGGGTCCGACGGATGCGCCCTCAATCCCGGGCTCGGCCACATGGGGGATGGGATGGGATGGCCCATCCCCCGATCCTCCCCTTTCATCCCCTTCCCTTCCAAACCACACTGTTCATTCATTCTCTCTTCATCCACTCCACGAATCCTTCCTTCCTTCCTTCCTTCCTTCCTTCCATCCACCTGGAGCAAGCTGGCCGTGTTCCCAAGCCAGCCTTGTTTTGTTTGTTTTGTTTTGTTTTGTTTTGATGTCTCCCCCCTCCTCCTCCTTAAATTTCACAAACCCCTCCACATTTCTTCAATAATGAATGGTAATTAAGTTGCTTTGCTACCGTCTGCACCATTTCAAAATCACACTGAACAATGCCAGCTTTTGTAGAGAGAAGAAATGGCCACTCATATTTCTGGTCGCGACCAATGGGAGGCGACCAGACAAGATGGACTTGGAGATGCATGCAAGGCTAGGATTCCACCATGCCCGGGCAACATCTTGAGAGCAAGCAGCCTCAGCAACGAAAATAGCTCCATATGTAGATGAAAAATACTTGCAATGCATAAAACAATATGTAGTTCAATTCTAGACAGGTGCACCCTAATACTTACCGAGATAGTTCAAGCAGTCAATTTTATATTAAAGTAGATCAGCATAGAAACCTTGATTTTCCTATAATCTTATTGGACGGCACAAGATTTGTGCTAAGCCTATTTCTTATCGCTATATATGTAGAAGGACTCTTCTTTTTGGAAAAAAACTATGTCATGAGTTCTTTTCAGCCATTGATTGCTTCAATGTATATTGAATATTGTACCCAACCAAATTGATGTTGGTAAGGTCATAGTGCAGATTTCAGTGTACTAAATCAAAACTTGGAATAAAGAGCAATACTAGTAGGGTTTTGAAGCGGATTGGTTGCAAGTAAAACCATTGCTTCTCCTCATCATCAAATAATATCACACAATAAGGCCTTGTGAACTTGGCCCAAACTTTGCCTTGCTTCTCATGCCTTTTTTTTTTTTTTGTGATACAAAATGACATCACCAACATTGAATGTTTTGGTGTACATGACCTTTATTTTTTGTTGTATCCCTCTTTCTATAAACATTGAATTCTATTGATATTATCATGAGCATGGATGTACAATTGATTGTGATGTTGAAGTAGACCATTGAGCCAAGCATGGAGATCAAAAGACTTGATTATCACCAAGGTTGAATCTATTAGTACAATTGGTAAATAAGATTTTTGTCCATACAATATTTTGAAGGGCAAGAATCCCATGCATGAGTGAATACTTATACAATAAGCAAACACAATAGTATGCAATATTGTATATCAATATTTATCATAATTACTATTCTTCTTGATCAATAAGCAAAGCATGAAATTAAATCTTTTTGTCAATTCATTATATTGGAGAACATAAGAAGATATAGTTGTAGATTTGGTGCATAGATGAATGGCTGGGATGTCCATTAACACATTGCAAAATTCAACTTCCATTAAAAAATTAATATCTCAATGGGATTACTATGCCACATCATAATGTAATCAAAGAAGAATTGAGATACTTTTTTTCATTCTTTTAATTCTAGTATGTAGACCTCTATCCATTTTGTAAGGTAACATGTAGCTAATACTACAAAGATAGATAAAATAAGACTAAATTCTCTCTAAGATCCAAAATCCTTCTAATCTATAATAACATAAATTCCATCACAACATAGGATAGAGTAGACCAAAACAAAATTAATAGAATAAAGCATAATAGAATAATAAAAGGTCAAACAAAGCAAAAGAGAATAGAATAGAACAAAGTAGAAAAAAATAAAAATCAAACTTAACTAAGAAAAAGAGACCAAAGCCATATTTGACTAAATATCCAAATAGCCTTTGCTAGACTTATTTATACTTTATTCAATCATTTTAGAACTTTCTAGAATATCTTTATTGGTGGATCCTACTAAAATAACCACCTCTTTTAGAATCTTCATAATAGTAGATCCTACTTAAATTATTGTCTTATGTTCATCTAAAATATTTTATAGTAGATTCTATATAAACTACCAATTTAACTCTAATTCTAGAAACTTCTCAAAAATGGCTCCAATTACATATTTCTATGAGTCAAAAATATAAATGTCTTATTATAATGGAATTGAAAGTGTTTGCCTTTGTATACTCCTCCTTTATGCATTCCAATTAACTGTCATAATAATTCAATTCAACATAGAATCATTAATTTTTCAAAGCTTTTTATATTATAAAAAAATAAATATAATTATAATTTATTACATATATATATATATATATATATATATATATGCCTTGAAGATCTTTGGAGCACTAATTGAATCATAAATGAATACGCGATGTATCTATTCATATGAGGAGAGATGTCTAGTATCATTTCTATAGGCCCTTATTATGAGAGTATGTTAGGTAGAAATTGAGAGGCACTAAGATCTGTCAAATTTTAATATGCTAAAAATACAATTCAAAAAGAAAACATAATTAAGGTCATTGAACATGGAATAGGACTTGGGCGTTATGAACTTTGCTTGAATAAGGACATCCATGTTTGTAGGCAATTATCTAAACTTATATTTAATTATACAATGGTGAAATTAGAGAAATAATGCTTAGCGTACAAGACATCCAATAGGCTCGTAAGACTTTGTCAATGCTTGAAATGAAGTATGATCCTTTCAATAACAAATTTTAAATCATACAAAAATGGTTTAAAGTATTTAATGGCAATAACGATTATAAGTCCTTCCTTGTCACTAATCCCATAGATTTTTATAACCTTGAAAAGGTGTCAAAAAATATAACCAATGATATATTAGTTAAGTATCACACCTATTGTATTTTAACTTATATTTATTTGTAATGTGAATGGAAGATGAAAGTAGTAGTAGGTGAAAAACAAAGCTATATATAAATTATATTTCATCCATTTGAAGACATCTTGGTTTGATAAGCTCAATGAAAAGATGATATGTTTTTTTTTATCAACTTGTAGAGAAGAACGGCCTTAATTTCAAATTCTTTCATAAAATATTTATACTAACTAATAAGGCCTAAAAAATATTGAATATACTTGATATTGATTAAGATGGAAAATTATTGAACAGCTTAGATTTTGGATTGAATCAAGGCAAAGGCTAACAATAAAAACTACATAACCTAGATATGTAATTTTGGAGACACCTATCATATATTTTTTGGCTTTATGCTTGAGTCTTGTTGTTTGAATCTATTTAAAGATAGATTTGAGATTAATGAAATAAAATGAAAAAAATAAAAATAAGAATCATAAGAGTATAAATTAATATCATCAATATATATTAATGCACTTTACTACTATAACTTCTCCAACACCATATTCATTAAGTGTTAAAAAGTATAAGTCACATTAGACAAACTCATAGATATCTTATTAAAATAAAAGAGGCCTTACTGATAGACAAAGTGAAATAGAACTAGTCTATTTTAAGAATCTAAGACTCTTCTAATCCACAAAAATATAAAATCTCATCACAAAATAAGACAAAATAGATTAGAATAAAATTAAACATAACTAAATAGAATAAGACACAAAAGATAAAACTATGCAAATGGAAATAGAATAAAACAAAATTGAATAGGAAGATGCAAAACCAAACTTTACTAAGAGAAAAGGTTTAAAGCCATACTTCATGAGATGTCTTGAAAGACCCTGGTTAGTCTTATTTATACTTTATTCTACCACCTTAGACTTTTTAGAATGTTCTTAGATGATGGATCCTATTAAAATAATCACCTGTAATTATTTTTAGAAGATTCTATAGTAGATCCACCTAGATAACTATCATAAGTCTTTTTTAGAATATTTTATGGTGGGCCCTATTTAGATAATTATCCTAAACTCTTTTTAGAATTTTCTACGATGGATCTTGCTTGATTCACTAATCTAACTCCAATTCTAAAAACTTCCATAACTTTGTAAACATGGTTCTAATTATCTATTCCTATGTGTCAATAATACAAATATCTTATTTATACCCTGTTATAATTAATTTTCCTCTACTAATGTAAAACATCCTCATTTTGCTCTAGATGGTATTTTTAAATTATTTCTTAGTAATTGGTGAGGTTCTATGCAAATCCTCACGTTGCATCGTGGATGGAATAACATTTTCAAAGAACTTTGTATTAAAGTTGTAGACATTCATTGCCATAGTAAAGGTAGCGATGCTCCAAAATGCTATCTATTTCATATTTTTATTGATTATCAATTACAACTGGTGGTGGCAATGGTTGATGTCAATTTGAAAGTACTTTGGCTTGATATAAAATTTCTTCAGTTACAAAATATAGAAGACTAGATAGATCCAAATATGTAATAGAAGCTTGAAGCAGTATGAGACATCAAAAATCATTATAGAAATGTAAAAAGGTCTAAGCCGCCAAGGTGCTAATTTACAAATTTGGGCTGATGTAACAAGTAGCAAATTAGCATTGGAGAATAATACTTGATCATCCTCTTGTAAGGTCATATGTTGCCGATGGTTATCCGCATACTGCTTTTGTCAATTCTATATTATAAAAAAGTAGTGCCATGCCTCTTATAAGGCTATTGTAAGTTGTTGTATAAATTTC